GATCACAGCGAACGGTTTTCTCGGCCTCTCGAGACTCTGACGGAGTTCGTGGGCTTCAAGGAACGGCTCGGGATGGAGAGCGCGTCCCAGGGACGGGTCGAGCCCTCCGGGGGTCCAGGTTGTGACAAAGTCACGACGTCGTAAGGCCAGGTCCGAGGAGTTTCGACGGCGGGAGGGTCCTCTCGTCGCCACGGCTGGACTCCCACACCATCTTTTGCCTAAGCGCACCTCATTGACAGGACCGGGGAATCGAGGACCCTGATATCGTGGCGTTTCCAACAGAGACACCTGTCTTCATATGATTCTTGTCTGTCGGGGCCGCTTCTGATCAGGCACCGGAGCCGTGACACTATTGATTCGGTAGACGAGCAGCTCCCTAGGGCAGGAGTCGAGTTCCCCGGGAGCCCAGGATCGATCATCGCGGATATCGATCATCGCGGATCGAATTGTTTCACAGTTTGAGTATTTTGGGGGCCTTTGCGCTCGTTTCCGCGGATGTATTATCTTCCGAAGCGTAGTCAAAACGCACCCTTGGATAGGCCAGGGCATCGATTTTGAGGGAGGAAGGCCAAAACACTGAGCGTCTTGAGCAAGTAAAGGAGTCGCACGTTTTCGGCCTTTCCGGCATGGATGCCTTTGACGGCGCCAGGGACCATGAAACAGTTATCCAGGGCGAAAAACAATTTCTAGGGAGAGGGCCAGAGTCGAAAGGTCCCGTGCCCCCTTCACAAAAGCAGCATTTGAAGTTCTGTACTTCATCTTCGCCGTCCGTTTCTTTCCAAAGCTTCATGGGGCTTCGGGATGCCATGTGCCAGAAACCAGAAGGATGGATTCGGAGGTAGGAGGACGAAGCGAAGGCTGCTGCGTTTTTGGTCACGACGGCTTTGCGCAAAGGCGTGCCTGGTTGCGCCCTGGCAAGCATGCGGAGGAGTGAGGATGGAGGAGGCGGAGGAGGAGGAGGAGGAGGAGGAGGAGGAGGAGGAGGAGGAGCAGCGAGAAGGCGAGGAGCGAGGAGGAGGCGTAGGAGGCGAAGCAGAGCAGCGAGGAGGAGGAGGAGGGAGATGAACATGACCCAGGCCTGCGACGTCGTGACTATTTCGCAACGGGCCCCCCGTTAATTTTAAGGCGCGCCTGTCCCTCTAGAGGAGGAATATTCAAACATAGTCAACAAATATTATGGGAACGATCTTTTGATTATTTTTGAATACTTGTTTGATTACTTGTATTGACTATTTTCTATGTTTCGTCCGAAATCCTCTACAAGAGGACATGCCCGACCTAATGTTAGTTCCGACACCTCCCTGGAGGCGGGCGTCTCGTCCTGACCCGGTTTGGGATTCCCCAAAGGGCCCGAAACGGCATTCCGTGTTCCATAGGCTCAGAGTTCAGGAGGAGGCAGCAGGGATCGAGCGGATCTCCACGTCGGATCACGACGCTCGAGTGAAGCGCGAGGAGCGTGAGCCATGGGCTCCCGCGCCTGCTGGCTGTGGCTGAGACGCGCCCGCGGGACTCGTCGGCTAGGATCCGTGTACTCTGACCGTTGCACGTTGGTCGTTGAAAGTCGGTGTTTTTGGATTCCTATATCCCAATCTATTTCAGATGCTTTCTTACTTCAAGAGTCTTCTTCCCTCTTCAGGGGGCGTGCAGAAGCCCTATCTACTTCCAACGCCTTCCTACTTCATGTTTCTACCTACTTCTTCCGGCCGACGGGTACCCCTCGGGGCGACAATGCAAGAACAACATTCGGTGTACACATAATTCTGCTGAGCCTCGCGCGGACTCCTTGGATCGGCGCTGGGCCCCCTTGCGACGCCTCCAGCGTCGTCCTTCGAAAGGTTAGGTTTGTGTTGTGCAAGAACCGTTACCCCTCAGGGCGACAAGGCCAGCACTCAGTACCGTTCAACCGATCCCTATCCCCATCCCCATCCCGATCACCAACATGCCACCACCCCGGATGGGGACATACAGCCGATATAATATTCCCACCTAGGGAGGGAAATCGGCCAGTGGGGCCCAGGCCACGCTGGTGGAGATAATTTGGCATCGGTTGAATGCTCATGCTCCTCAAGTTGATGAGGCCAGAACTCCTCCGGCACGTCCGCCAGCGCTGTCTCGGGAGAGGAAAGAAGACATGGCCACGGCGTCGGAGGCCGGCAGCCGATTACCCGCGGCCGTTCCAGGCGCTCGTCGGGCTCACCGCCAGCTTCGAGAGCGTGGTCTCGGAGCTGCGCCAGGCGCCCTCGAGCAGCGGGCAGGGAGGAAGAGAAGGGGGAGGGGGAGGGGCAGGGTGAGGAGGAGGAGGAGGAAGACGAGGAGGAGGAGGAGGATGAGAAAAATCAGAGGACGGCCGTTTGAGACACTGGTAGTTGACCTTCGGGGGCCACCCTCGTCGCCACGGCTGGACGCAGCTCGGAAAATTGGTGCGTTTGGACCCCAGGATGGGTCCGGTGACTGATTTTGAACTCTCAAACCGCCCTGCTCCGAGAAGGAGGAGGGGAAGAGGGAAGGAGAGGAGGAGGGGAAAGGAGTGGACAGGTGGCCTGAATCTGCTTGCCTGATTGGCTGAACCAATTGCGCTCTTGTGTTCGGGTTGCTGGCCGAAGGAACCGTGTCAAGATGGCGGGTGTCCTTGGAGCCTTTCCGTACAGGTTAGCGTGAGCATGGCAGTGCGGCAGGAGCAGGTCTTGGGGTCAGGGTGCGTTCGCCTTGCCAGGATCGTCCCTTACCGATGTTCTGAGGTTAACGTTTGTTGCGCCTCAGCCTGTATCGCAGGAGGAGGAGGAAATGAGGAGGAGGAGGACGACGAGGAAGAGGAGGAGGAGGAGGAGGAGGAGGAGGAGGAGAGGAAACTGATGCACCAAAGGCACGGGCGGACCAGCTTGGGCCTGACAGGCAAGTGAGGCAAGCAGGGATGCTGTACTGCAGGCAGTTTGATGGAGTCCGCAGCCCTTCATCTTGGAGAAGGGACACGGGCAGATGCAAGGGCTCCACTCCTCGTGTCTCCGAGACCCTCAGCCAGGCCGCGGAAGGGTGAAGTCGTCGAGGACGACGTCGGTCGGAGTCTGTGCTCAATCGACGGGTCTGGCCAGCTGAGGCCAGTATGTGACTTGCTTCGGGACGAGGAGGATGAGCAGCCTTTGGTTGCTCCTGCGTCCGTGCGCGTCGGAGCGGAATCGGGTTCTGACTGCGCTGATTATCAAGGGGGGGAAGGGCCACCCAGACCCCGACAAGTGGCGTTTACCAAACGCCCCTGCCTGGGCGTTGACTAAACAAGCCCGCCCTGTTAATTCCCTCCTTGGGGGTGCTTACTAAACGGCTTCGCTTGTCGGGGTGACTACTATGGGGATGAATTTTCTGCCTTCGCGGCCCCTCTGGTTGCAGCAGGCGGTCTCAGCTTGCCCCTATCCGAATCGAGGGGGGACACCCACTCCGTCGAGGCGCAGGTGCAGACCCAGGGGGGAGCAGTAAGCCCAGGGTCGGTGCACCACGCGGGTCTCCGAGTGCCTTTCGGACGGGGCTATAGGACGAGGATAGAAAATCCGTTTCAGAGCGTTCTGGAACGCTTTCAGAGCGTTCCGGAACGCCCTGAGAAGGCCTGAGCCGCCAGATCTCCGAGATTCTCGATTCATCCTCGCCCGAAGCTGTCCTCGTCCTGGCTTCGTCGGAGCTTCCGGCCCGCCCCCGCGCACGCGCGCCCGCGCTCTCGCGGGGAGGTGGTCCGCCTGCTGCCGCGCCCGGAGCCGCCCGGCGCCGCGGCGGCTCCGCACCCAGGCCAGGCCGCGCGCGGGGCCCGCTCTCCTCCACCGGGAGCCCTCGACGCGGACCGGCGGGCCGACGCGACGCGACGGGCCGTCGACGCGACGCGGCGGGCCGACGCCGCGCGGCCGCGGCGGGCCGCCGACGCCGCAGACCTGCGCGCCGACGCCGCAGACTTGGAAGTCGGCCGTTCCCAGACCTCCTCGGGCAGTGAAAGAATCGGCACTGGAGGTTCTGCCCTATTCTCGGCCTTTGGACGCCCTCACCGGACCTCGGGACCGTGCAGAAACGACTCGTATAGGACGAAAAACCGGTCCCGCGGGGAATGGGTCCAGACCGCTGGGGTCGGCGTTATGACAAAATCCTGACGTTGGGGGTCTGGGTTTGAGGCACTGTCGACTGCAAGTTGTAGTGCCACTTTGCCGGAGTGACCTTTGGTGCGGGCTCACCGGGGTCCCCCCGATCGCAGAGCGCGATGCGGTAGAGGCTGCCTTTGCGCTTGGATTTGGCCACCTTGTGCCCCCTGGGCCTTCGGGAGGGGGCCCTCGTCGCCACGGCCGGACGCAGCTCGAAAAACCGGAGCGGTTGGACCCCGGGCCGGAAGTGGTTTGGGACCGATTTTGAGCCGAGCTTGAGATTCCAGTGTCGCAACTCGCCCTTCTCCGATTGCCGACGCCGCCGGCCGTGACTGCCGACGCCGTCGCGGGGGGAGAGGTGAGGGAGGGTCCTCGGGTCGGCCCGGCGGTGGCCATCCCTCTCCCCCGAGGTCGTTTATTGCCTCCTCGTTTGTCTTCTCTGCCCTCTTTGGGGCGGCGACGACGACGCGAGTGACGCCAGCATCGGCGACGCCGACGGCGGCGGTGAGCAACGCGGCGGCGGCGGGGCCCTTTGCCGCGACGGGCTTCGGGAGGCCCCCTCCACGGACTTCGAAAGTCCAGAGGCAGCCACCGGCGTCGGTGTCGCCTCCGCCGTGGCGATCGGCGGCGTCGGCGCCTGGGAGGAGCCTGGGCAGAGCACGCTGGTGTCATGTCGGGCCTGTCTGTCTACAGGGAGAATATTCAAAAATATTTAAATGCTGCCGCCGACCCCAAACCAGGGGATGTGTTGCTGGCGTGTCCCACTGGTGCTGGTGAGCTGGTGAAGTCGCCGAAGCTCATTTCCGAACCGTAATCACCTATCTTGGTCGGGTCGGTGAGCTCGCGAAGTCACCGTAGCTCATCGCCGAGCCGTAGCCACTGATCCTGGTCTTTGACGCGCAGGTGCTGACAGCGTGTCGCGTTCTTCGAGGCTAATGCAGGACCCCCCCCCGCACGTGCACAGAGGAAGGGGGCAGCGTTGGAGGGCGGGTGCTAGCGAGGGAGGCGTCGCGAACGGACAGGGGACGGCCTTTTCGGTTCAAGGGGGGGCGCCGTGCGAGGGCCCTGGCGCCGTCACAAGGCGCGCTGCTCTTCTTTGTTTGTTTGTTGGTTTGTTTGTTTGTGTATATATACACATAGATGTATGTGTGTATGTACATGTGTATACTTATATACATGCGTTTTTATGTATATATATGACATTGGCCAGTGCGTGATTCCTCCTCCCATCTCTCGACATTCGAACCTGGAGAAGATGTGACCGCCTGGCTGGCCGGTCTGGCGAGCGTGGATCGCGCCGTCAATCGCACTTTTGTTTGGAGCGCTCAGCGGCGCCCAGGAACGAGCTCCAGGCACGCGGAGCAAGTGGGGCTGATGTTGCGGTTGACCTCGGTAGTTCAGGATGTCGTGGCCTATCTCGTCTCTCATTGGTGGCGGTGCTATTTTTGCCGTGTGTGTGTGTGTGTGTGTGTGTGTGTGTGTGCGTGTGCGTGTGCGTGTGCGTGTGCGTGTGCGTGCGTGCGTGCGCGTGCGTGTGTGTGTGTGTGCGTGTGTGTGTGTGTGTGCGTGCGTGTGTGTGTGTGTGCGTGCGCGTGCGTGTGTGTGTGCGCGTGTGTGCGTGTGCGTGAGAGCAACGCCTGGCCTTCCCAGCGGGTGCAAATTGCCGCGGCTCGTCTGCCGGGTTCAGGCTCTGAGCCCCCTAGTTTGTCTTGCGCGGTGTCGTCTCGTTGTCGTGCCCACGCTTCGCAACAGGACGTGTTCTTCTAGCTGGTCGCTGTCGCTGGCATCGTCTCGCCCGCCGCGACAACTGTGGCAACGATCGGCTGAAATATCATATTCGGTTGCTGAGCTGGTGAAGTCGCCGTTGCTTATCGGCCAAGTTTAGAGCGGTCCCGCGATGATTGGCGTCGCAGAGGGTTCGGATTCGGACGGGCTTTTCGTTTCTCCGCGTTCACTTCGCGGTCGTCTTCCCCTACCATTTCTGGCGTCGCGACGCGACGAGGCGGGGCGGTCGGGGGGGGGGCGGCCAGGGGGGAGGGAAGAGAGGGGCCGGAGAGGTGGAACGACGCCCAGGGGTGGAGGAGGAAGAGGGAGAAAGAGACGGAGGGAGAAGGGCAAATGCAGGCGTCAATGAGGACTAACGACTGACGTCAGACGACCATTCCACGACCGAAGTCGACGACGGGGACCGCCTCCATATAACCATCTTTGTGTGCAATTTGGGGTATATACAGTGGTCTTGCGGACTCTTTGCGCTGGCGGGCTTTTCCTGATCTCGACGGGGTAAACGAGCAGGGGTCGGAGCAGGAACCATGGCAAATCACCAGTCGCAGAAGGGCTGGTGGGCTTCGACCCCGATGTCTTTGATCATCCACTCCTCTTGCACGCTCATGCGGGTGGCTTATCCTCTACCGCCCTTCTTTCTTCTCCTCCGCGGCCGATGTGGCTCAGACTGGCAGGGCGGCGCCTGCGCGTCGCGGCCGACGGCAGCTTTACCGAACAAGCGGCCGAGAGAACCACGCGGGCGACCGCCGTCCACTCCCAGGAGGCCGCAGCAGGCAGAAGAACCAGTGACTGTCGTGGACTCCGACGACGACTGGGGCGATTGGTCCGCGGCCGGCTTCAAGTGCGCGACGAGCGCGGCGCAGTTTGCACCGGGTCGGCCGTGCATTCCGCCCCGACCGACTCGTCCTTGCACGCCGCCGGTTCATCGCAAGGTCTCGGTGGCTTCAACACCTCCAGGCAGGTCTGCGGCCAAGGGTGTCGTAGGCGCTGCCGATGAGCGGTCTCGCGGTGGCCCGGCGGCTGCCGCCGCAGGACACGGGGGCTCGGTATCAGGAGATGGGAAGGAGAGCGCGCGAGGTTCTGAGCAGGCTGGGTCCGCCGGGCCAGCGGCTGCGACTGCTGCGGGAGACGACGTTGGCGCGGCAGGCGGCTCGGCGGATGCACGGGCGAGAGACGTTGCACGCATGGTTGGCAGGGCGCGCGCGATAGAATTCGATCGCATGAAGAGGATGGAGGAATTCCCGGCGAAGCTGCTCGGCCAACGGCGACGGCTCCCTGAGCGGCGCATTGTTGGCAACACTCACTACCGTGATTTCTCCAACGCGAGGCCTCCGCCTTGGGGCATCAAGCGCGTCGTCGAATCGCCGAAGGCTCGCGGTCGGGATCCGGCGCGGGTGGTCGAAGCAGGGCGCTGCGACCCGGGGCGCCTCGTCGGCGCCTACGACGACGGCAACGTGGACGAAGATGACTGCCTGCGCCCGCCGCGAAGACGTTGCTGCAGCGCCACCGCCGAGGACGCCGAATGACGACTGCGACAGGTTCAACGAGATCTGGGTCGCTGCAGCCGAACTTTTCCAACAAGGCGTGGTCGACCCTGATGAGATCATGCCTCGTGAGGGACTGTTGCGCACGATGCCGCCTGCGTGTTTCTGGTATTTCGCTCAGCTCTTACTCGTATGCACCTCCGCGTCGATCGGCGCGAAGCTTGCACTCTTCCCCAGATGTAGACATTCATCCTCCTGGCCCCTACACCTCCCCATCCGCATCACCGTGTCCTTTTGCATATCCGGTTCTCCTTTTCTGTTCCCTCTTTCTGCGCCCCGTCTTCGGTGAAATATCGACAGTCAGAGGAGGTCGGGCGACTCAGACCTGGCGTGAGTCGTTCGGGCCCCTCTTCTTTCATCTACGTCTACTTATCCTTCTTCTTCTCGTCGTCCTTTCTTGCGATCCTGCTTCTCCATCGCGGCATTTCCCTTGGCTCGTCCTCCTGCTCGCCGACCTCCTCGCCAGGCCTGTGCGAGGAAAAATTGCACCGCCGGTGGCGCCCGAACGATTCCCCCCCGGTGTCCGTCGTTCGAGCCCCTCACCCTCCTCCTTCTCCTCCGCCACCTAGCGCTGGCCTGCCGGCGAAGTCGCCGCGGCTGTTTTTCAGGCCCCCGGAGACCAGGACACAGACAAACCAGGACATGGAAAACCAAGGAAACGACATCCTTTCCTGCAAGGTCACGTTTTTCAGCACCTGTGCACGTTTTGCTTGCAGCACTGCAGGATTCGGGTTTGTGTCCGGGTTTAGGGGGGTCTTGCAGGCTTTTGAGGTCTGTGTCCGGGTTTATTCTGGAAATGCTGCAGTGCAGTATTTCGTTCGTGCCGCCGTTTGGAAAATTTGGTTTCGAGGGATGTTGGGTGTCCGGGTCTGGCGTGTCCGGGTCTACGGGGCCCTGAGTTTTCACGGGGTGTGGCTTGTCAGTCGCGTGGTTTTTTTCCTCTAGCCGCGGCGCAGGTCTCGGATGTCGGGGGCCCCCGGCCGAATCCTGGGCCCGCCGAGAAATCATTCCAGTCCGAGCGTGGGTGTCGGGAGTGGTCTCGAGAGGGGCTCGGCGGGCCCGTTAGGAAAGGAAGAATAGAACGCCCGAGGCCTGGTGCAGTAGTTCTTGCTGGTCGCTGCAAGACGTTTGTTTCAGTCTCCTGTTAACTAGACGGGCTCCTTTGCGTGCGGCTCTGTCTTTTTCAGATTGCGACTCTCGGTCGCCCACGTATTTCCATATCTCACATTCGTTCGAGGGTCGCCTCCGAGATCCTACTTCGGGGGGGGGGGGGGGGGGGGGGCGCCTGTGCGCGAGGGGGGCAGTGCTGAGCGCCTGTCCCCATTCTGCAGCGCTCGCCGTTGCGCCCGCTTGAAGCGCGGCGCCCGCATGTCAGTGCGATATCCTTTTTCTCTTCCTCACCTCGTCGTTATCCTCATTATCGCGCCCCGTCTTATGATTCTCCTCGCGCCCGCTTCTCCGCCACGTCTGTCTCCTTGCCTCGTCTTGCACCCCCTTCCCCTTCTGCGGCGCCCCCCGCATGAGAATCTCGGCAGGCAGAAGGGCCCGAATGACTCACCCCGAAAGTGAGTTATTCGGGCCCCATCAGCCTGCTTTTGTTTCTGTTGGTCGCCCTTCGTTTTGTCGCGGTCTCGCTTTGTCACCGTGTCTTTTTGCATCTCCGGTTCTCCTTTTCTGCCCCCTCTTTCTGCGTCCCGTCTTCGGGGGGATCTTGTCAGTCAGAGGAGGTCGGGCGACTCAGACCTGGCGTGAGTCGTTCGGGCCCCTCTTCTTTCATCTACAGCTATTTCTCTTGCTTCTTCTCGTCGTCCTTTCTTGCGATCCTGCTACTCCATCGTGACTTTTCCCTCGGCTCGCCCGCCTCCTCGCCGGGCCTGCGCGAGGAAAAATGCACCGCCGGTGGCGCCCGAACGACTCTCCTCCCGGCGTCCGTCGTTCGAGCTCCTCATCCCCCTCCTTCTCCTCCGCCACCTAGCGCTGGCCTGCCGGCGAAGTCGCCGCGGCTCCTTTCACGGGATGTGGCTTGTCAATCGCTTGTTTTTTTTAGTGTTGGCGCAGGTCTCGGATGTCGGGGCCCCCCAGTCGAATCCAGGGTCCGTCGAGAAATCACCCCGGTCCGGACGTTGGTGTCGGAAGTGGCCTCGAGAGGGGCTCGGCGGGTCCGTTAGGAAAGAAAGAACAGAACGTCCGAGGCCTGGTGCAGCAGTTCTTGCCGGTCGCTGCAAGCCGAGTCTCTCAGGCGGGGCGCGTGGAATTTACACCACGGTGTCAGTCCTGCCGCCCTTGTATTCCTGGCGGGAAGAAGCGCAGACAGCAGGGCGTGGTCAAGCGCGCGCAGGAAGCGCATCTGTTCCCAGGACTCCGACACCGTGGAGGAAGGAGGCTGGGGGGAGGGGCGGGGGGGGGGGGGGCGCGCGCGGAGGATGGGAGGGCGAGGGGGGGGGGGGGGTGGAGCAGGGGGGGGGGAGGGGGGAGGAGGAGGAGGAGGTGGCGGAGGAGGAGGAGGAGGAGGAGGAGGAGGAGGAGAAGGACGGGGACGGGGAGGACACGGCACGGGATGAAGAGCAGGAGCATTTGGAGCATGGGGAGGTTGAATGTGGAGCGGGAATGTTATAGCGAGAGGTGCCGCGATAGACGCACGACTGTCAACCTAAGCTGAAGTTTCGCGCAGTGGGCGGGCACCGAACGGGGAGCGGGTTTCGCGCGGGTGTCGGGGATCGGAGGGTGAAGACCATTTGGGTCAAGACCATTTTGGTCAAGCCACTTTCTTGCCGATGGTGCATCTCGTCGCGCTGCCGAATGGATTGCGCGAAAAAAGCAAACGGGAAAGCATTCGCCACTGATGTGTTGGTTGGCTCGACGGTGAAGACGTGCTGCGCTTGCGCTGATGCCGCGGTTGCTCGCGCGCTCTATTGTGACGACGGCAATCCGAGCAGTGCTTGGCGGTATGCTGAGCAACATCCACTTGATCATGCGGATCTGCAAACCATTGAGACATTTGATCAGAGTTCATCTGGGAGGCGATGTGAATATACAAATGTCTAAGTTCTCGTTCTTGGTGCCCGATGCAACCTCCTTTCTTGCGATGGCGCGCGCGTTGCATTTCAAAAGGTTTCGGAATTCGAAGCACGGGCCATATCTATGAAATGTTTGACCCCAAGCAGCTCGTGCATCCCGTCGTGCAGGAGCTGTCGGATCGGGCGCCGTTTAATTTCTCGCGGCCGCTTCTTACCATTATGGCCTGCGGCGCTGCAATGCCACGCGGCAGCGAGCACCTGTCTGAGCAGCACAAAGAACACATCGGATGCTTGGAATTGCTGGGCCCAGCATCCATTCGCTATTTTGCTTGCGAGAGGGTGACACCAGCACGCGTGCGTGGCCTGACCTTGCAGGAGGTCCCCCTTGGACCCTCCGCTGGCAATTTGTTCAGGCTCGAGAGTGGTAGTTTTGCCATCAGATGCGTTGGCATGGCCCCATCAGGTCCGACATCTAATGAACAATTTCGCGCTGCCTGCACACTGACTTGGTTGTGTCCGGATGTCTGGATTTATGCCTTTGTGGAGGGTGGGCAAATTTCAGTTCCCCCGGCAAGCTCCTTTCTGGTGGGCGTCTCGGCCTGGCGGCACCATCGGTGGCGGCTGCAAGGGGCATCGCAGTCGGAGGTCTCTCGTCGAAGCCATTCGTGCTGAGCACGACGAATACATGCACTGGCACTGATTGATATAATCGATGTTTATGCCAGCCTCATGGGCAGGAGTGCTTTCAGTGTTCGGTGTCCTCGCGCTAGTTTCATGATGCGTTGAACCCGTGCTCTGACACTACATTTTCAAGTGTTAGAAACTCACGGTGCGTTTAATCAGTGCTCCGGTTTTTTCTTGGAAGCGCTCGAATAATTCACTGTGATGCTGGACTGGGCATCGACAACCTGCTGCTTTCGATGCAGCGACGCAGAGAAGCTTGCTCGCAAGCGCCCGCATCCTGCTTACCTTCGAAACAAACCGTCTGCGGTTCTGTCGTGGACGGTCCGTCTTTCGACGTCGGGATGCGGACGCCGGGGCGAGGAGGGGGGCGTCCGTCGTTTTGGGGCGAGAAATCGTGGGGTCGGGGGCCCCGAGAACAGAGCTGCCTCGGGTGCGGATGCCGGGGCGAGGAGGGGGGTGTCGGTCGTTTTTGGGTGAGACATCGTGGGGTCGGGGGTCCCAAGAACAGGGCCGCCGTGGGTGCGGATGCTGGTGCGAGGGGGGGGGGCGTCGGTCGTTTGGGCGAGAAATCGCGGGGTCGGGGGTCTCAAGAACAGAGCTGCCGTGGTTGTGGATGCCGGGGCGAGGAGGGGGGTGTCGGTCGCTTTTGGGCGAGACATCGCGGGGCCGGGGGTCTCAAGAACAGGGCCGCCGTGGGTGCGGATGCCGGTGCGAGGAGGGGGGCGTCGGTCGTTTTTGGGCGGGAAATCGCGGGGTCGGGGGTCCCAAGAACAGGGCTGCCGTGGGTGCGGATGCCGGGGCGAGGAGGGGGGCGTCGGTCGTTTGGGGTCGAGGAATTGCAGGGTCGGGGGCCCCGAGAACAGAGCTGCCGCTGGTGCGGACGCCGGGGCGAGGAGGGGGGTGTCGGTCGTTTTTTGAAAAAGAAATCGCGGGGTCGGGGGCCCCGAGAACAGAGCTGCCGTGGGCGCGGATGCCGGGGCGAGGAGGGGGGTGTCGGTCGTTTTTTGGCGAGAAATCGCGGGGTCGGGGGTCCCAAGAACAGAGCTGCCGTGGGTGCGGATGCCGCGGCGAGGATGGGGCGTCGGTCGTTGTTGGGCGAGAAATCGGAGGGTCGGGGGCCCCAAGAACAGAGCTGCCGTGGGCGCGGATGCCGGGGCGAGGAGGTCGTTTTTGGGCAAGAAATCGCGGGGCCGGGGGCTCCAAGAACAGGGCTGCCGCGGGTGCGGATGCCGGGGCGAGGTGGGAAGCGAGGAGCGGGGTGTCGGGGGCGAGGAATCATAGGGTCGGGAGCCCCAAGAACAGAGCTGCCGTGGGTGGGAATGCCCGGGCGAGATGGGGGGCGAGGAGGGGGGTGTCGG